AGCCCAGGGCGGGGGGGGGTGTAAGAAAATAATCCTATTTGATTATTATCTGCCTAGTTTATAGATCGTGATCAGAAACCGTCTGCTGAAGGTATTCCGTGTACAGGGTTTTCTTTTTAGCTTTTACAACGTTCCTAAATATTTACATAATATCAAATAGATTCTAAATAGCAATAGATGGCAAAGTAGAATTTGTACACTCTTAGTACAGCTGTATTCTGACGTCACAAGTGTCAATTCAGTTTTTGTGTCTGACAAAATTAGTAATATAAGTGACGATTTAAGATTAAAGTGCTTATCTTAGAGTAAAATAAGCAAGTTCTTTATTTCTGTTTTTACACTTTTTTATTTAATCATGAAAAACATGTCAACTAATGGGAGAAAATTTCGTTTTCCTTGTTATATTTGACACTTTGTGACGTTTTGGTCAATTTCTCTGTTGCCACCTATTGTACATGATCATCTATTTGATAATATTAAGATTTGTTAATGTTAATTAAATAACAAAAATTAAAGGGACTGTAAGGGATCCTCCATGTAAAGATGGCAATGCCTGATTTACAACGGTACCCTTGAAACTTTAATCTGCTCAAAAATATGGAAAATACTTTTTCTGAATAGGAAAGAGTTAATTTCAGTGAGTTTCTGCAATGCTTCTTCTAAACAAGAAATGCGCTAAGAAACATCAAATGAAAAATAAACAGTTTTAAGAAACAAAAATATAGATATCTAATTTATAATTGATCAGACAAAGCTTTTAACAGTTTCAAGAGTTACCTAGTATGCATGTCGGGTCACTTAAATTAGATTAAGAGTCTTTTAAAGAGAAATCAAATCATGTAACTAATTAAAAATTGAATTATTCAATTATTTTAAGAAAAAACACATTATTTTCCTATTCTTAGATGCGATGCGAGACAATATCAATGACAATAGCAAACACAACCAATTTTCATACAAAAACATGCAAACGCAGTTAACAGAAGATTCGTCTCATCAGAAAAATATAGCTCGTGTTTTGGAAAATTTTGCAAAAAATGTTGCATATTAAAATTTGCTTAGTCAATTCCGCAATATTTGGGTTTATGCAAATTTTCAATATTTTGCAGAGTCATATATAAAACATTTTATGAATTTTAAAATATCCTTGGGCTCAAAACCAGTGAAGAGACTGCAGGCGTAATTTCAAGAGACCTTTTCTTTAAAGAGAAGGATCTCCGATTTACAACGGTACCCGTTGTAGCTAAATATCTCATCTAGTGTGAATTAGATATCAAGGTTGTTATTTTTGAAAACTAATTATTTTCAATTGTGGTTGCGCATTTAAACTGTGGATAATCATGTAGGAATTATCACAATTGTACCAAAATTAAACGACATTATATATTCCACTTTAATGATCAGATAAAGGCTTCAAGGGTACCGTTGTGAATCGGACATGGCAATCTTTGCAGGGAGGGATATTCGAATTTAGGCTCTCAGTCCCGTTTAAGAAATAAACTTGATCTAACCTAACATACTCCTGTTTGTCGAGGAGAGCCCTCTTCTGCTTCCTGGAGAGGGTGGTCTTGGTCCTACTCGTGAACCTGGCCAGCAGGAGGAGCAGTAGGGTCAACACTATCAAGAATACACCAGCATACAACTAGATAGATAGATAAGGTAGATATATAATTATAAATAGATAGAACGATAAATAGACGGGTAGATAGATATCAGGAGTAGCATTGACAACTTTGCTAAAATGTCTTATATTTTAATACATAATATAATAGTTTTCAAATATTAAATGATTGAATATTTTTAGGAAAAGAAAAAAATGCTTCAGTTGGAAAATCACAACAATTTACAAGTTTTTATGATTTCCCTGAAAGTAAATATTACTTTTAAATTCCAAGATTCCAAGATTACAAGATTACATTGTTAAATATGAAAATTTGTTGACGACGATTGTGACACCTGTAAATAACTAAGCAGACTGACCCCTTAAATCATGAAGACCGCTGCAGAATGGTAGCGGTCATTCGGACCAATTCAGAATAGAGCAATCTTTTCCAAGTAGATCCTAGAATACATTTATCTAGAAATAGTCCTATCTTTTTAAGTAGATCCTAGAATATATATTTAAGAAATAAAAAAAGAAGAAAAAAAATGTTAAAACAAAATGTAACTACAATCTACTCAAATATATTTGTGTTGTCTGTCTGTCTCCTGGTTTGTTTGTATCCGATAAAACGGTTGAAGCGACTGGGATAATTTTTTTTGGCAGGGGTTTGTACAGAGATTGTTTAAATGTTTGAAATCCACCAAAATTATAACAGGAAAATCGGCGAATTTTTTCCCCTTACCTTGAGAAACTTGTCCGATAAGAAACTTGCAACAAGATTGAGCATAAGAGCCAGGGGCAGAGTGAACGTAAGAAGATAAAGGAAACCTCCCTATAATCATAATATTTTCATCACCGACAGATTTAATTCAATATAAAAATCATCAAGTTTACTTTAAGATTTTAACCAATAGCTGTTATGCCGCCGAAAAAAGATGATTCGAATGGAGTTAAATGATGAAAATCAAAATTTAATTTTATTTACTCTGCTGTAAAAGTTTAAAATCTGATCTAATAACTTAATAAGGATTTAAATCGATAGATTTGATAATATTGTAAGATCATGTTCCTTGACATATGCTCTGTAGTTTCCAGCTTTAGCAGCATTATCCTCTAGTATAGCATCATCTACCAACTCTCCTATCCTGAATACAATTAAATTTAATTGATTTTCAGTGATTTTTAATAATTTTCAGTAATTTATAATGATTTTCAATGATTTTCAGTGATTTTCAGTGATTTTCAGTGATTTTCAGTGATTTTCAGTGATTTTCAGTGATTTTCCGCGATTTCCAGAGATTTTCAGCGATTTTCAGCGATATTCAGCGATTTTGAGTGATTTTCGTGGTTTACAGTGATTTTCGTGTTCGTTGAATTGATTTAAAGTGATTTGAAGCATTTTTAAGTAAATTGAAGTAGTGTTAGGTAAATTAAAGTAAAATAAAGTAAATTGAACGGGATATAAGTGAAGTGAATTGAAGTGAATTGAAGTGAATTGAAGTGTATTGAAGAAAAGAAAATTGAAGTGAATTGAATTGAAGTGTTGAAATAAATTGAAGTGAATTGAAGTGAATTGAAGTGAATTGAAGTGAATAGAAATGAATTGAAGTGAATTGAAATGAATTGAAATGAATTGAAATGAATTGAAATAAATTGAAATGAATTGAAATAAAATTAAGTGAATTGAAGTGAATTGAAGTGAATTGAAGTGAATTGAAGTGAATTGAAGTGAATTGAAGTGAATTGAAGTGAATTGAAATAAATTGAAATGAATTGAAATAAAATTAAGTGAATTGAAGTGAAGTGAATTGAAGTGAATTGAAGTGAATTGAAGTGAATTGAAGTGAATTGAAGTGAATTGAAGTGAATTGAAGTGAATTCAGGTGAATTGAAGTGAATTGAAATGAATTGAAATGAATTGAAATAAACTGAAATGAATTGAAATAAAATTAAGTGAATTGAAGTGAATTGAAGTGAATTGAAGTGAATTCAGGTGAATTGAAGTGAATGGAAATGAATTGAAATAGATTGAAGTGAAATGAAGTGTATTAAAGTGAATAAGTGAGTTTATGTAAATTGAAGTAAATTGAAGTGAATTTTATTCAAATAAAGTGAATTTAAAGTCAGCTGAAGTCAATTAGAGTAAATTTTATTCATATGAATGATCTGAATTGAATTGAATTGAATTGAATTGAATTGGATTGGATTGAATTGAATTGAATTGAATTGAATTGAATTGAATTGAATTGAATTGAATTGAATTGAATTGAATTGAATTGAATTGAATTGAATTGAATTGAATTGAATTGAATCCTAAAGAATTCGTCCACAACACTGCATACTTAGTTTAACTACCTTACATAGCCGGTCTGTCCCTTTAAAGTGAATTTAAAGTAAAATAAAGTGAAACTAAATTCTCGAATTCCAGACTTAAAAGCGAATTAAAGTAAATTGAAGTAAATACAAGTGAAATTAATTAAATCAAATTAAAAGTCAATATAACTAACACAACTGGAAACTATAATGATCTGATTTATTGATCAAATGGAAGGAAGTTTATGATTTTTATATTTCTACAAATAATTATTTATAAAAATATTAAAACAAACACATTACCGCTCACAATCTTTCTCCAAGGTATTCAACGTATTCTGAAGTTTACAATCCATTCATCAAATATGAATAATGAATTATGAATTACTAATGAATTAATGATGAATTACGAATGAATGAATGATGAATGAATGAATGATGAATTATGAATTATGAGTTATGAATGATGAATTATGAATGATGAATTATGAATGATGAAATATGAATGATGAATTATGAGTTATGAATGATGAATTATGAATGATGAATTATGAATGATGAACTATGAATGATGAATAATGAATAATGAATGATGAATGATGAATTTTGAATGATGAATTTTGAATGATGAATTAAGAATGATGAATTAAGAATGATGAATTAAGAATGATGAATTATGAAAGATGACTTTTGAATGATGAATCAAGAATGATAAATTATGAATGATGAATTATGAATGATGTATTATGAATGATGACTTTTGAATGATGGAATGATGAATTTTAAATTATGAATTATGAATGAATGAACGAATAAATTAAATAAATAAAAAGATTAATGAAAGCGTGAATAAAAGGAAGAATGAGTGAAAAGATGAATGGATAATTGAATGAATGAATAAATGACTGATTAACTGAATAAATGAAAGGATGAATGCAAGATTAATTGAATTAATGAAAGGATGAAAGGATACATGAATGAGCGATGAATGAATTAATAAAAGAATGAATTAAAGGAAGAATAAATACATGAATGCATAAGTGAATGAATCCCTGTATAGTCTGGTTGATTGTTTTCTCAATATCTCTACAAACTTCTTCAATCTGGTTTACACATCTGTTCAAAACAGATTACAGATCAAAAATGTAAAAAAACTTCTTTTAAAATTTAAACTACTTAAAAAGACTGACACAAATTCAAAACTAAATTTTTTTTTGCGTTTTTACAAAAGTTTTTTTTGGCTTAAAATTTTGTTTTAGCTGAGCTGGAAACTCACATATTGTTAATCTGCAGATTTATTTTTAATCTCAATTTGATATCAAGGTCAGTTTCTAAAATTCAACCAATCAAAATGTCGTTTGCAGAAACTTAACAGCTGATCAGAAGCCGGGACATTTTGTGAACTTTCTTTGGTCGGAACCCAGTAGGAATATCAAAAAAAATAATCAAAGTGTCCACAATGGATATCGAGATCAAGCGATCGGAATTAAGGGTAACCAACACAAAGGTAAGGCAAGATAAAAGTTATGCGAGTACTGTTGTTCCTGTTTGGTTTGGTTGGGTTTGGTATATAAATGGTTGGCATGTCGAAACCGGTTCTGTTCAAACCAGGACGCTTGCACAACTCCTATAATAATAAAATGTAATTTTTAAGTTTTGGGTCTGAAGTAGTTATTTCAAAACACAGCCTGATCAATTTGTCTCTTTAGGTATCAGTTTATAAGTCTGTACTTGTTTGTGTTTGTTTGTATTTGTATCTGTTTGTATTTGTATGCGTTTTATTTGTATTTGTATTTGTTTGTATTTGTATGTTTGTATTTGTATCAGTTTGTATTTGTATCTGTTTGTATTTGTATCTGTTTTTATTTGTATCTGTTTTTATTTGTATCTGTTTGTATTTGTATCTGTTTGTATTTGTATCTGTTTGTATTTGTATCTGTTTGTATTTGTATCTGTTTGTATTTGTATCTGTCTGCTTATCTGTCTGTTTATCTGTCTGCTTATCTGTCTGCTTATCTGTCTGCTTATCTGTCTGCTTATCTGTCTGCTTATCTGTCTGTTTATCTGTCTGTTTATCTGTCTGTTTATCTGTCTGTTTATCTGTCTGCTTATCTGTCTGCTAATCTGTCTGCTAATCTGTCGGCTTATCTGTCGGCTTATCTGTCGGCTTATCTGTCTGCTTATCTGTCTGCTTATCTGTCTGCTTATCTGTCTGTTTATCTGTCTGTTTATCTGTCTGTTTATATGTCTGTTTATCTGTCTGTGTATCTGTCTGTGTATCTGTCTGTGCATCTGTCTGTGTATCTGTCTGTGTATCTGTCTGTGTATCTGTCTGTGTATCTGTCTGTGTATCTGTCTGTGTATCTGTCTGTTTATCTGTCTGTTTATGTGTCTTTTTATCTGTATGTCTGTTTATTTATCAGTCTCCTGCATAATTATCTGTCTGTCTTAGTGTCTGTTTATCTGTCTGTCTACCTGGACAATCTGCATCATCACTCTCTGTCTATCAGACTCATGACCTAAATATTTTGTTTAAAGGGACTGTAAAGTGTTAAGTATACAGTGTTCTTAATCATTTTGGATCCTCTTACTTTGTAATATCTTACTCCGAAAAAAAAGATGGAAAATGGAAAAACGATCCGATAAGAATCGTTACAAAACGTTAGTTCATCGTTACAAAACGTTAGTTTTTGCACCGTTTTTTGGGTCGCTTTACGCAAATAAGGTTAAGGTCAAAAGTTGACTGAATATCAAATTTTGATACATATAGAGGAAAAAAAAACACCCAAAAACGAAACAACTGAAGGCTTACAAGTAACAAAACATACAAGTGACAAAACATTTAAAGATTTGCAATTATTATCAATTTTTTAAGAGTATCGTGTAAACATTTAATTTAAATAGACGCGCCCTAAATTTGCTGAACCACAAATTTGGATTAGAACGCAGCATTTAAAACTTCATGGCAGCCCCTAGATATTCCAGTTTCTTTACATAGCTAGAAAAAAAGGCATGGGGTGAAGGGAGCAGGAGGGGGGGATAGATAAAACTCCTATGAATGCGCGAATACCGGATAATATTTTCTTAATTCTCTCTCTCTATGACAGCTTGCTCTGACAGCTTGCTTCTATAGTAATGTTAAGGATGAATACGAATGTTATGAATTTGATATTTTTGATACGAATGTTGGGTTTGATTGTTTATCTGATCTTGATACTTGGATACGAATGTCATGATAGGCTTGATACGAATGTTGAAAAGGATGGATACGAATGTTATTAATTTGATATAGGTTGGGTTTGATTGTTTATCTCATCAGGATACAAATGTTAGGGATTGATACGAATGTTATGAATTTGATATAGGGTGGGTTTGATTGTTTATCTCATCAGGATACAAATGTTTGGGAATAATACAAATGTTATGAATTTGATATAGGTTGGGTTTGATTGTTTATCTGATCTTGATACTTGGATATGAATGTCATGAACATGCCAGAAAAAAAGTAAAATCCAGAACAGAATAAAACGTGGCATTCAAAGACTTAATGCGCACTGCGTAATCAGTAACTTCCACAAAGTCCACAAACCTGCTTCGTCAGCTTTACTAAGATAGAAGCGCATTCTCTCACTATGCTTCTCACTAATCTTCTCTACTATATTCAGGGTTCGCTTACACAGCGCCTAAAACATAAAAATTATCTTTAAAAAACATAAACAATTGTTTACTCTTTGTAGATCACTTTAATTATTAATAATTTCCTTTTCAATTTTACTGCAACTTTAAAACAATCTTCCGTTATTAATGGACAAGTTCTTAAATGCGAACACTCCCTTTAAACATATCAAATTTTAAGCCCATTTCTTGCATATAATAAAGACTAGAAAATGATTAGAATTTAACACTTTTCGATTCAGATCTACCCCAATTTCTATGAGGTTAAGGTTTCAAGGATTGGTACACTGCAATTTTCGCAAGGAGGGTAACTTGAAATTACGCTTACAGTCCCCTTAAGGCGGGTAGATGTAAACAAACAAACATGTTTACCTGACCAATAGGATCAAAGAATACAAAAACCATATCACAGAGTTCAGCCAACCATAGAATTGATTCATTCACATCAAACGGATAGCTCATGTCACCGTCAACTAATCAAATCAAATAAATTAACTCCATTAAAATTGATTTTGTTTTTCTTACATTGCCAAGCCCAGCCCAACATAAAAAAAACAAAGTGTGAAACAAATTGTCATCAATATTTGTATTCAATTAATATTTGCACTGAACGTTGATAAAGTTGCCTTTTCCCTAACTTTTTAACTTTTCAAAACAAGTTAAGACCACCCCTTGAAACATATTATATGATAACTTTAATTTTATTATTAAAAACACTTCCCCTTTGTAGTCATTTTAAAACTTTCTTTAGGTTTCAGTTACACCGGAGAAAAAAGTAATCGGAAAATTCAGCTAGATTAGGCAGGGGTGTATATTTGTTCTCGAAAAATCGCCCCCCCCCGTTTTGATTTTTTTTTTCATATCGGTATGGTTTCGCAGAGCGGAAATTTGTCTTTTAGGGTTTTAATCATTGAATCGAGGAAAATTAATGATTTCTAGGGGATGATTAATAAATTTTACCCAAAATGAATGATTTCTATGGGATGATTAATAAATTTTAACCAAAGTAAATGATTTCTATGGGATGATTAATAAATTTTACCCAAAATGAATGATTTCTAGGGGATAATTAATAAATTTTACCCAAAATAAATGATTTCTAGGGGATAATTAATAAATTTTACCCAAAATAAATGATTTCTAGGGGATAATTAATAAATTTTACTCAAAATAATTCAATGGGTAAAAAAGGATGAAAAGCTGTTGTTAAATTTTTTAATTGTTTTTCCCCTGGTCTACAATAACCATTTATTAAATATGCACCCCTGAGTTTAGGACAATATGGATAGATAGAATTACAGGTAAGGGGGGGAGGGGTATATTCCTAATTACCTAAACCCGGCGAGTCCACGAAGGTAACAAGAGGAAACTTTTTCTGTTTTGATGTAGATATCTCGGTAGACAGGTAGTCTACCACACCAGGCATCTCCTAAAAACATTTCTTAAAGGGACTGTACACGTAATTTGAGTCAACCTCTAATTTACAACGGTACCATTTAAACAATAATGGGGCCATATGTCGTCGTTTTTGTGAAAAAAGTTTACTTAAACAATTTCCTCCGTTGTTTCTGCAGCAGAAAGTTACAATGGTAACTAATCAATTTTGAGAAAAGATAAAAAACATTGGTTTTTAATCAAGGTTTTCAGGATACCGTTGTGAGTTGGACATGCCTAACCGGAAATCACAACGACGGACCATAGTCGCGTGAATATCAAACATATTTGGAAAGTTTTTTTTTCATATCTTGAAAGGATTGTTTTACAAAGCTTGAAGGGATTGTTTTTCATATCTTGAAGGGATCGTTTTACATATCTTGAAGTGATTGTTTATCATATCATGAAGGGATTGTTTATCATATCTTGAAGGGATTGTTTTTCAAAGCTTGAAGGGATTGTTTTTCAAAGCTTGAAGGGATTGTTTTTCATATCTTGAAGGGATTGTTTTTCATATCTTGAAGGGATTGTTTTAAAAACGTATTATTTTCAATTGCACAGTTTCTACGCAAAAGTGACTTGCGCATATCTACTTAAGTATAACAAACACTTAACTAGAAAAACGACAATATCATCCACATTCATAAACTGATAAAAAAGGTTTGAAGGGTACTGCTGTGAATCAGATATTGCCAATGATTAAGTTGAACAAAAAAAACCTTCAAAAAAGAACGTACGAAAAAGTTCATATAACTATTTATAACCCTACTGGTTGAAGGGAGGCGAGGTATAAAGTATTTGAACCAAAAACTTTTCTTTTTCGAGAGGTTTCGAGACTTTTTTGATGAGATTTTTAACCAGAGTGTAGCGAGGCATAAAAATCTCATCAAAAAATCGAGGACCCTCAAGAAAAAGAAATGTTTTAGACGAAAATACTTCTGAATTTAAATGTTAAGAGTATCAAAATAAATAAATACACAAAAATAGCACGTCAATTATATAACATATAATATAAAGTTTAAACTTTTAAAAAGTACATATTAAAGAAAATCCCAAATATTAATGCTGGAAGATGATCATATAAAAGAATGCGGGAACTTCATAGCAAAAAATGCGCAAATATTGAAAGGTGTACTCAGCTGGGGTGATATTTTACTTATTTTAAACCCATAAGAAAATAGGAAGATTTAAGACACCAGTTACAAGGTGTGAAGAAATAAACGTTTATCAATCAATCAATCAAGAAAATAGTGAAAATTTTACCCCAACTCAGCTGGGTTTCAGGATATGTTCACCGTAGATTTAAAAGAGCCCAACCAGGGCATAAGAAAAGATATTATAGGCCGGGGAAGAAAGCTAGAAAAAAAACGGTAAATCCGAGAACTGTACAAAAATATAAACCAATAACATTTCAGTTCATTTTACAGAGATTTTTTTTTGGGGGGGGAATAGACGTGAATCATTTGAAGAATAGGATTAGAAACTAAACATTGACAAACTCAAGATTTTAACTTAGCTCCAAGCATTTGCAAAATACATCCCTTTGTAATCAATTAAAGAATTATAAAAGACCTTAGATCGGATTTAATTAAAAGGGAGAAGTGGTTTAACTATGGACTGATAGTTGAGCTGCATCTCTGTAGCAGTCCAGAAGAAATTAAACAAGTAGTTAAAACTACCAATATCTTGTTCAACACCTCTGATAATCTTTAATCGTAGGCGGAACTAAAGTTTTCAGAAGGGGGGGGGGGGTTTCTCACCTACGTCCTGAGGTAATGAAGCTAAACCCCTGAGTTTCTATGGCTACCCCTGTTCTCTGAACATGTTCCTCAATATACCAGTTTATGAACGAGGACTTTCCGGCAGAATGGTTTCCTGTAGAACATTCAGATTTTTTATTTTTGGGTATATATTTGAAGATCATTTTTTGCGTTATTTGGGAAATATAACTCTTAAATTTTTTCGCTAACACACCCTTTAAATTATTGAGGACAAAGGTATCAAAAAGGGAGAAAAAATTTGCGTCTTGATAAAATTTATCATTTTTTGGGCGGAATATAAATTGACAACGCTGGTGAGAGAGGGGAAGAACTTTCTCCGTTCTCGCTTGTCAGTTGTAAGAAGCAGAGATGATCATTTCCCCCTTTTAAACTTTGAACCCAGTACCCCCCCCCCC